GAAAATATTGAATTAAGCTTCAATCCGATTAAAAATATGGTAGACGACATAAAAAATCTTGAACCAAGCAAAAAACCTTCCAAAAACCTGGAATAAACGAAACAAGAATATTTTCTATTGGTAATAAATATTTCATGTTATAGTATATAAAGTTAGATAACAAACTCACAGAATAATTTCGAACGAACAGTAGTACTTTCTTTTACGCAATAAAAATCTTTTATAATTAAGATTTTAAAATTTATCGTTATAATATTTTACACAATATACCTTTTATAATAATAAAAATTTTAAATCGGTATAATATCTTAATAAATGTTTTTATCGTTATATATAATATGATAAATGTGCTGGATTACAAGATCTCGGATTTTAAACTGCGATTACGTAACTGATTTTGGTGGTCATGCTAAGGAGTAGGGATGTTATCCTGCTTAAACCTGCTAGTTTGTGCTTTGAAACCCATTCGAACACTGTTTCGAACTTTGTACATAAACTGGGTTTCAAACTCTGCTTCAAACTATTTATATACATGTACTATTAATTACGTGCTCCTGAGCATGTTAGCTTAAAACCCGCTATATATTTATTTATTTTTTTTTTTATTTTTTTTTTTTATATTAATATATTTATTTATTTATTAAAGCATATAAATATATATAGTATACATATTACTGTTTTACTTAACGCTAATTTAACTATATATTTGCATATTATAGCATTGCATTTATTTATTTACCGTTACTGACCCTCCATAAAATCAATCATGCCCGAATCATACCAGGTTTTCAAACATAGGCTTGCGCAAATGTTTTCTTCGGACAAACGATTACGTACCGGATTGATTGTATTTTTCGCTTGTGAGAACATTTGCTCACTAGGCACGCTTGTGGCCTGTGTGACCAAATAGTCACGTGCCATCTGAACGAGCCCAGCATAACGTACATCAGCTGATCTTGTCTTCCAGGAATTGAGAGGATTACAGTATTCTTCCGCAGCAGCAAGATATTCGTCAAGTACATTATTTGACTTCTCATAACGATGCTTCCTGAAATAGATTCTTGGAGAATCATCGACAATAAGTGAGGAACCAATTTCTTTGCTTTGGAAGGTTATAAGACTTTTCAAGAAGGTCAACGTCTATGTTAGAGTTAGGGTTGCATCGGTCCTGAAAAAGACCGGTCCAGGACCGGTCCCGGACCGGGACCGATAAGGATCGTATCACCCAATCAAATTTCTTGATCAGATGTAACGTTGACAGTAAATAATTACGTCATTTTAAAATCTTATGCACTAAGATTGACGTAATCATTTAAGGACCGTTATGGGACCGAAGGACCGGACCATAAATATGATAACGGTCCTCTTAGGGACCGGACCGGACTGATGCAACCCTACTATTGCATTAATTTTCGAAAGATGATTTTAAACAGTGATTACGTAGCTGATTTTGGTGGTCATGCTAGGTTCGTGCCTAAATTTCATAGACAGTTTTTTGTTTATTCTTCGTAGGTTTATTTTTTTTAAAAAGTACTTTAAACTGTACAAATAATGTAAAATTAAATTGATTTAAACATCCAATCATACGGAAGTCCTCCTATGACTGTATGAGATCGAAATAGTGCACAAGTATTATGACGTAATTTTAGCTATTTGTCATAACATTTTGGATAAAAGTAAATAATACGAATGAAGATATTATTACAGTGATTTTCTAATAATTGCAGTGATGCTCAATTGCAACGATAGATCAAAATAAAGATCCCAATCACTGTTTGAGATGATTCCAATAGTTTATCGAAAATTTTACAAAAAATGTGTGTCGATTATGAATCCATGATGAAAAGTATGAAACGCTTGAGCATTACTTTATTCATTTAATATTTATAAAGTTTTGATAAACCAGCGCAGAAAAAAGGTGGTTCTGAGAAAAAGTTTGTTGACTGAAATGGTAAACTCACTGTTCATTTTTTACTATTTAAAATTTTCTTTCACGTAATAAACTACCTCACTTATCTTATTGATCGATTAAAAATACTTTCGTTAATTAAAATTTAATTCCCGACACATTTTCGACATACTTTAACCCATTAATTGAGGCACTTGAAAACGCCCTAAGTAATTTATCATTTTAATTTACCACCATTTACAACAAACCATCTTTTTTTATCCTTGGCTTGGAAAAGTACAATTAATAGAGTTTTCAAAAGGTCGCTCAAGTAACTTTGCCATGGATCCTCGTTCTCGACATCGATGAATTACTATTTTACTCCTTATTCTAAAAGTTTTCATGGGAAATAAAGCATATGAAAAAGCCTGAAAAAAAAAAATTACAGATGACTACAATCTCTAGCCCATATTCATACAACAACAAATTCAACTATTCTATAACTTCATTTTGCACAACAACCCATATCCGTTACTTGTTTGATGATTTTCTTTTTTCTTTATTTTTTATTTCATTAATTTTTGACGATGAATTTAATAAATAGAAGAATATTAAGAACCGTTCAAATATCAATTACAATTTTTAGTTTGATTGTTTATATTAATGTACATCGTTACAGTTATATACTAATTAATCACATCGAAGATAATGTTAGAAAACTTCTATTACGTCATTATTTACATAATCAAATTATCAACAAAAATTTATGTAAATATAATTATAGATGAGCTCAGCGTTGGTCGATGACCCTAAGTCATAACATTTTTTTTGATATGACTTTGGTCGATAATCATATGACTTTTTGGTCATAAATCATATTGGTCATATTAAATAATAAAAAATTTTTTTACTATGATTCTTACTATATTAAAAAAGGTCATAAGTCACATTAACCTTTATTATGACCAAAATGGCCCATGTCTGGTCATAAAGGTCATATAGGTCATTGAAGGTCATCGGTCAACACTGATTGCGATCATTAGCTAATCACATCGAGGATGAGGTTTGAGGGTGCCCTTAGTCGATGAATTTTTCAAGTCAATTAATATCTGCGTAGAATTAAATTTTATTTGATGCAATTTAATTTAGTACTATATACTGTATATATTTATATAAAATAAAATTTTAATTTTTTTTAAAAAAGGTCACTCAACCGGATAACGAAAAACTATATTTGTTTGCGTGGGCTAATATTATAGTAATATTGTCACGGGCAAAGAAGGATCGTCAAATTGGCGCAGTAATCTTGTGACTAAACCGGATATAATATCAGAATTCTAGATCGACCAGTACATGAGGCTTGTCTGCCGAAGAATAGGAAAGATAACCTACGTGAAATCCGAAGAAGAATTCTAAAAAGAAGAACCAAAGATCAAGAAAGAAGATCTGGAAAATAGGC